GCATTACCCAAATAACGGGAACCCAGTCATAACTTGACTCCATAATATGACCATTTTAAAGACCTTATATGAAGTCGTTAAAATGTGCAATTTATGAAGGCGACGACGACGTTGTTCAGATGGTTGAACACTGAACGCTTAATATTTTTCTTTAGTTCCAACAAAGAAGGTATTATTTTAAACAATTCTAAACTCAAGTGTCCTTTACAATAATACATTTTAATAATAATACAAAATACTTTCGAATTCAGACGCCTATTTTACAGTAATGCTTTACAATAAACCTTTACATTTTAAATATTTTTATCACCTTTGTCACCGCTGTTATTTGAAATAAAAGGAGGAGCTTATACCTTAACACCGCAATTTTTGAAATGAGATATAACTACCATAGATAACCTTATTTATGTATCTTGTTTTTTCAATCGTATCGTGAACGTGATCTGTGATCGGCCAACATGTACAACAGTTACTGGCCCTTTCGCTATTCGTGTTTCGCGCAGTATCTCAGGATGAAGCGAAGATCATGCTAATACCAGTCTTGTAGGATGGAATATCTGAACTATAACTCTTCATGTTACTATCTCATTCCACTTTGCGTTTTCTTAGTTTATAAAATCGTAAATTTTTGTGATATTTCGAATTTTGTTAATGACAAGTGCCTGAAGTGTTTGATGCTTATATTACTAACATATTGTTGTTTAGAAGGCCTAAATCATATTTATAATAAATAAATAAAATGTTTAAAACAATGGTGTTTAATAATAAAACAATATTAATTTATAGAGCAACTTATGGATTATCAGAACCTCACTGTAGTTTCAGTCGTGAATAGCGGTACGTGAAGCATTCGTGTTGTCTGTGGTAAATAAGTTTATATTACACGCGATAAGATCGGCTTGCAGCAATAGCCGTCAAGTCGATTGGTCATAGGGCTGATGAACAGAAACAATTCATTGTGTTAATTCACTCTTTGTTAAGATTAAGTATCTGTTTGTTTTAAAAATTAATATATATAAAATGTTCAGTTTCTATTTTTTTATATATCATAATAATTCGGTTAAATAAACAATAAATGAATATAGATAAAACTTTATTCAATAACATAAAAGATAATTTTAATGATTAAATAAAAAATAATAATTTTGACCGAATAATATTTATTGGAAATGTGTGCCTAATACATAGTTAGGTAAATAAAATTTAATTGTGATGAAATACGTACATATATACAAGATTATATTCCAAAATTTCTGTTAACAAATTTAATATAGGCAACCCTGTTCGCTGATCCTTGGCTAGACCACACGCCATAGATGAATCGGCTTATTGTTGCTTCATTGACTTATACGTAGGTCGCTAGGTGCAGAATACTACTCAAATATTATAGTATAAGTTTTAAGTAATTTGCTTCATAAACTGTTCTTCACATTTAGCTACATATTTGTATTATTATATTTTATCAATTTTACAATCACAATGCTGTAATGGAAAATATTGGTAATGAACAATGCTTTAAAAAATTCACCAACCCTAGATAAAGGCGATATAATATCACGCTATAACTAATAGGAGTGCAGCACCAATGAAAAATGTTGCTGCAAAACGGGAAAATCACGCTAGTGAAGCCGCTGGCGGAGAGCTAATCCTTAGATGTTAAAGCAACCTTAACCTTATTATGACATGACCTTTTTGGCCATACCGTAATGTACTTATTTCTACTTCCATTGAAATTGTATGGTCCCACCAGTTGAGGGCTATGAAACCGAACTAGATGGACTGGAATGGGACCGCTGAAAAACCAGTGGTTAGTTGCGAATTATGATAGCTGTATCTTGATAGTAGAGCAAATAATATTCGTCTGCTTTTAATATTCAGTTACCTATCGATTATCTTACCACATTCAATTCGAATACTCGAATTTTCAAATTACGCAAAAAAAATCCTTAATATTAAAGTTTTACATAACACTTTTACATGTAAAAATTAATTAATTGACTTGACATTGGCAGAATTGTGCAAAATGCGCAGATAAGCCATTAATTAAAAAGAATTACTATTATTACCTTTATCATATTAGCTGTCATTCAAAACCTCACCCAAGTATAATAAAAGGTAGAAATTAATCATTAATTCAAAAATATGGTAACTACAAAACTATTATTAATAATACTATTATTAATAGATACACATACTTGTGTAAATTAAGCCAGGCAATAACAAGCTATAATTAACAAATAAGCGTCGTGTTAATCTTTTAGCCATTACCCGATTAATATCGACAAGATGTATCACCACGCTATAACAATAAAACTGTCCGCATATCTTACAAACCGATTATACTAGCTCGTTTATAACTTAATTTAGGCGGCTTGTGCGGAGTCAATTACCTGCGCGAGCGCACGCAAGCCGGTTATGGTCCGCACCCTCCCCCCTCGCCTGCCCAACCCGCACCCATCGTGCATAATGTAGTTTTTGCTCGAACTTCTTATAAGCAGGACCCTTAAACTATTCTCTTTATCTATAACGAATAAACTCGTTCCAAACCGGCTGTCCGAGTGTATCAGTCAGATCTATAACATAAATAATTCCTCTCTGTATTTATGATAACGCTTTTTAAGTGGATAATTGGAATAAATAACTCAATAGACGAATATAATTACTACTGTTAGGGTTAAAAGAAACATTTTCTACTGTAAATTATTAGTTATTTTCAATGCAATATGATGGCGCTCATGGCAGTTTAATATGGTGCGTTTTGGCGTCAGATCGGAATGCTTGCTATGTAATGGCCCTTACTATATGACTAAGGTCTATTACAGCTACTTGCTAATGACGACAAATCCTCCCGTCTCGCCTATGGATGTCCGAAAAGAATTCGGGAGGGCTATATCCTGCCTCAAATTAAATATTTAACCAGACATGAAATCTTACTTAGCAGTACGATCTAGAGTGAGGGAAGCATGCCGTCATCTATTTCAGTACGTCTATAAACAGTTGGTATGACTATTAATTAATTTTTGTCATATTTATATTTATAGCATTTTAAATTAAACTCTCTTTAATGTTCTTTTGTACTTTGTATGATGAATTCAGAAAGTCCACAAACATCAGATATAAAGAATGACACAATTAGCTATGACAATTTGGCAATTCCGGAAAATCTTTAGACTCTTTCTTCTATAGTATTTTGTAGGTACTCAAGTTTGTACGTATAATCTACGATTCCAATTATAACTTGCCGTTCAAACAATGACTTATACATAATTCTTATTTGGTTTTTCATAACCGTTATTAAAGAATATTGAAATACCACATACGAACTACACAAAGATAATAGTTTATTCTTGTGTAGATAAAAATACAAGACAATGCAGTCCCAATCGAGTGTTGACCAACAAAATGTAGAGTCAGACATTGCATCAAGATTTTCTATTTAAGTAAATTTTATTATATGTAGCAGAGTATTCAGATTAGTTAATACCCACAAAACAGCACTGGTGGTTTGGTCATGCGTGGCTTATTCTGCCTATTCGATTTGATTTGATACCATCCGTGGGGAAGACCTGATCCCTAGGAGACATAATAAAGTGTTCAGATATTAAAAGTTATCTAAATTTACATCCATAATATATAATACATAAAGAAAAAATATAATAAATTGGCCTAACAAAGCCAACTCTTTATGACGCTAGCATTCTAAAAACCCAACTATAGACAATGACGCTTTATATCATTGTCAAAAATTAAGTATTAAAACGATTTTAAAAATTATTTCGTCTATGAACGAGAAACTATATAATACGCAAGTGACATAAGCTATTATTTACGCGGGCGATGTTGCGAACAGCTAGTAGTTAATACAATATATTTAATAAAACGTATGTTTTTTTGTGGTATTATATTTTTAACATTAGGTGAAAGAATTTTTCAAAATAGGTCCCGTAGTTTTTAAGTTTATTAAATAAAAATAAAAATACAATTTTTCAAGCTTGACAACAACATGGAGGTTGATTTTCAAAATGCATTACAAATACCGCCGAGGTTTAACAATGTAGTTTTTACTACTTGATTTGAATTTGATAGTAGGCAATGGATGTTAAAGAGGGGTAACACAAGGTTTTAGGCTGTTAATAAGCTGTTACTCAGGTTTCATGCGAAAGCCCCGTTTGACGGTTCCGCATATAAATATAAGATCGCGTGCCACAGAGGTTCTATCTTACGGATTGGCCTGTTCTATGAAGCGTATTTGATTTGCTCATGATAATATAAATATTTCTATTAGTACTATCATGTATTATAAGATTTATTTTATTGGCATAAGTACGTAGTACGTGAATAATTGCATTGTTTTGGTTTTAAAATATTAATCACGTATATGTAGAAGATATATTTTTCTTGTCTTGGATATGGTTGTTGTGTTACTTACCTTCGTTGTTTGAAATTTTTATAATGTAATCCTAAATAAAGCTACTTAATTTTGTATCTAATCAATGAGTGTAATATTATCTAATTATTCTAATTATTGACATAAAAATAAGTTTAAATTTAACAATAATCAATATTATCACTTAGTGTTTTAAATGGATATTATTTTTATATATGTACCTTTTTGGTACCGTGCTACATGATTAACGTGCTTAAAACCATCACGCAGTTTGTTTTGTTTAAAGTTATTAGAAATGGATGGAAAGATGGCTTATCTTTATTTTAATGTTTTTTTTACAAATAATTTTGATAAATTTGGATATGTGATAATTTTTATTGGGACCTGAATGAAAATATACAGATGAGTTATTTGATTTCACTGAATGAAAACAAAGAAGAACGATTTAAATAGTGAGGTCTGTGAGCACAGTTATTATAATACAACGAGGTGATTGTTGAAACACCAACTTATCTTTCTTATAGATGTGAGTAATAGAGGTTCCGTTAAAATAAGGTAGTTCAATGAACTAAATACGTGAGCGGTAATCGCTCGTTTAGTGATAATGACTCACCTCTGTGGTGTCGCACGCGGTGGTGCGCCACGGGCCGGCAGCAGGGCTGCTCCTGGAACACCGTCCAGGAGTCCGCCAGCGCCACCGCCAACACGCAGCCCAACACGGCCCATGGCCCACCCCCCATCCTTACGCACTTCCACACCCGACTACCGCCAACTATCGCACATTGTCCCCAAACAAACGTCCAAACAATACAACTTGCACCCGGAACGACAAAGCCAAAGTCAACAGACGATTCCGGTAAACTTCAATAATGTTTATCTGTTTACATTCCTCGCTCCAAAACTAAACTCAGATTATCTGAAGTCGAACGGACTCCGACGATTAATCACTGCGGCGGGAACGCGAGCTCGTTATCTCATATCGAGTCATAATCTGTCCGTGCGGTTACTTCGTTCGGTTCGCCTGATTTATTAGTTGGGAAAGAATTATCAACGCGAACGTCGCTACGTAAAATCGGCGGGCGACCGGCGAGACGTACACCACCGGCATCGCATCGTCGAACACTGAGACTCGAGAGACAGCGTTCGGTTCACCGAGTGCCTGGAACCGGCACTCCTGCCACGCGGGACGACGCGACAGCTCTATTTCTACAAGCTTCGCTTCTATCTCTGTTTGCTGTACGCCACTCTACATGAAAGAAAGAGACAAGGCAGACACGTAACTGCAAGCTTCGCAAACGAATGAAAAAGCTCACTCACACCGCACCACTCGTTCAGGGAAAAGTTATAAGTTTAAAAGTTTTGATAATTTCGTCGATCCGAGCGGCTTCCGAATGTGCCGCGGAGATCTACTGCGTTGACCCCGCAGTCGTTACGGACATACTGTCGAGAAGGGGATGCTCACTCTCTATAAAAAGTAGTAAATTTGCCTAATTTATGTTTTCGTCGGGATACGCACGAGGAACTTTTATGTCTGTAAGCACGCAAAAGGAAGTCGGTTGTTACTTTTTTCTTTATATATGTTTATTAATAAGTGGCCTACTAGTAGGCATGACTCACGACAACCGTGTGTGTCGTAAATTGCAGTCGGAATTCTAAACAAATGATCAACGAAATGGGGTCGCTTAATTTGTGAGATTTTTTAATAAAATAAACTGTTAAAAACTAAATATGATTGATTTTACGTATCAAATTAATATTAATATATTGTAAATAATGAATTCTACCTTGAAATAATCTTATTATGGTAAACGTATGATAAATGATTAAATGAAAAATTCTTTATTGTATACCAATGAACAAAACATACATATTAATACAATAAATTTAAATGCACAATTGGCGGCATTGTTACTTAAAAGTAATTTCTTTCAGGCAACCTTGCGAACTGAACAAAATAAGGGTATCTTATGTGTCTCAAAACTTTAATACAATATTATACCACTACATGCATTTAATGAATAAATTAAATATATTATGTAATACACAAAATAATAAGCACACAAATACTATAATACATATATTTAATATATAACATACATATAAGCTTATAGATGCTAGATAATAATAAAGTCATATCTTTAAACTAAATGTTAACATATTCACTGATTAAATCTATAAAATGTTCTTGTAGCTATAGATCACTATCTACCCCAGTGAACCTAGCTATGACTCTACATAGCTAGGGTCACTGGGGCTATAAATGTAAAACAATATCAATATACGGCCCTATAATTGTAAAACAATATCACGTAAATGCTTAGATCCCAAAAGTTACTACCCAGACCCGAGATATTTAAAAAAAAATCATTATCCGGCATACAAGCCACTCGGCCAGGATGATAGTCATTATACAGTTAATTTATTCGATTAGTATTGCAGATTCGATAGTTTTATTTATAAGAAACTCCCAATATAACGCACGGTATTATGTAGAGGATCCATTATGTTCAGTAGGTGACACTCACAAATTATCAATATTTGTGACACACTACTAAAGATTTATCACCCGTTTCCACTAACCCAGAATAACGCATTACTTAACTAAGAATCGCCTAATCTTTAGAAATGCCTAGGCCAATTTAAAAAAAAAAAATAATTCTTCACACCAGTCATCTGTTATATTATGCAAATACTAAGCGCAAATTATCTTAGTAATTGCTTAATATCGTTTAGGTGGGTCCTAGTTAATGATGAAACGTATTTTCACAAAAGGCAATTCTTAAATATTTACATTTATGCTCCTAAGTTAGTAAAAACAGGCTTATTTTTAGATGGAAATTGTAATAAAATTTTATGATATCGATACCTTTATGTGTTTTTAAGGAACTACAAGTGACATTGACACCAAAATCAAAATATATTAAACATACAAAAAACAAGTATAAACCCTTAGGAAAATCTAAAATTAACATTGGTTCATACCTCCAACGATATCTTAATATTATCGGCGCTTTTATTTGTTCTGTGCTACATAGATCATTAATATAAACAGAAGATCTTAAATTCAGATCATCATTCATAGGCGGGCTATAATATAAGACTACACGTGACTCTATAAATACATTTTATTTACATATAAATTAATTAATTGCGCAATGGTTTCACATTTCTCATCATTATATCACACTTTAATAAAAAATACATATTTTATGTAACCATTACAAAGCTCATTAATGTAAAATATACATCATTACTTCTATTTACCACTGCCGATAATTCATTATATCGATTTCTTTAAGAGTGTAAATAGATCTCTAGTGGTCCTCTATTTTTGTCAATACATTATCGATTGGTGTTTATTTCCAACTTTTCCTAACAAAGAAATTAAATAATCCAGAATGACTACAGCTGGAAAAGAGGCCAAAGACTAAATATGTGTTCAAGATAATACATTTTAGCCACTCATAGAAAGACCACAAATGACGCAAATTACCACGACCACATATTTTTTCATATCATAAAAAGATACTCAAATTAACTCTAGCATAAAGTATTATAATAATATTTTTACTCCCTCCACAAATGAGAGATATGTTAGAGCAACAAACAGTTCTCAAACTTTTTTAGTGATGGAGCCCTTTTGGAAACCAAAAATAGTGAGTATACCAGCTCTGACGTGAATCGACATCTTTCAAAAACCAGGTTTCATTAATTGAAAGAAATATAGTCAACGGAGAGTTCGATAGAAATAATTGTTTTTTTTAATAATTACATTAAAATCACTGGATTTATCATATAAATAAAAGTATCTACGTCATTCATGTCTATAGTGTTGGTAATGGTGTCCAATGTTTATTTATTATATTAGGCGGTACCTCACACGGCCACTGTGGACGCTACAAGTTTTCAGACAACTTAATAAATATCTGTTTATTAAATTACGCTTTGAACTGACCCTGATTAAGGATCGTAGGGTTAGCTTTATCAATTACTCAGCCTCTGCGGCCGTCGTCGCCCCCGCCTGCGTCCACTCCACTCGCCTTTAATTAATCTTAAATAACTTGATTATGACGTGCTTTCTATATAGGTACTATCCTGTTAGGTATTTTCTTTTGTGTATCTTCTAAATGGAGACCAAACACTTAAAACAATTGTTTGTAGGCCCCCGAACACTGTCTGCCTCCGTAATACTTACAAAGATTTTAATATATGCTGAAACTTTTTTAATAAACGAACGAAGTGAATCGACACTAAATATAAACTTATTTACTTACCATCTCAAATTAGTTTTCTTGGCCTCAGATCGAATTCCACGACCAGGTTGGTTGTGTCAACGGCAAAAAGTGATATCAGACCAGACACTAAGTTTTACGAAAGTTAGAAACGTTTGGAACTCGGTATCACATTCATAAGATGAACGGAGAGATCTTTAACATCGCGGGCCCATTTTCATCAGTTCTTCAAGTTTTTCAATAAAAACTTTCGAAGGAGTCCGATTTACATACGGTATGGATTCATTTATTTTCCAGAAGATTTTTCACGTAAAAGCGTAGAAGGTTTTCGGTATGCATTTAAAAGGAAAAAGGTCGGGACGCTCTGACGACTCTTGCCTTAATCAATAAAGGTCCATGCAGAATTTGTATTACATAATATTAATAATAATAATTTGAAAACAAATGAATTTTATGGGTTCACATTTTATGTTCTACTAAAACTTTTAAGGAGTAAGAAGCATATTATTAATATCAGAATTAAAGCAAAACACTGCAATATATTTTATGTTATATAAGGAACTGAAAGAGATTTCAATTGATTGTAATAATAACTGAACAATCAACATATTTGATTATATTTTTTTTATTTAAATATCTGGAAATTAGAAAACGATAAAAAATAATTAAATACGTGTAAGAAATATTTGTGAATTATTAAGTACACTCGGATATTGTGTGCTGTGTCCAAAGAGGGGTTAGCACTTCCGTATTTTCAAAAATATTTAATAATTTATAACCATGCGCACACTTACCCGCTGTAGATAGTTTATTCATATGACTATTGAAATATCTGAAACATATATAAACATACATTTATAAATTCTGTTGTTAGAATAAGTTAGACGCATAAAATTTAATATAGTAATATTGCTTTTATAAAGCGCACGATATACTGATATCTGAAAAATCATGCCAATAGCTGATTAAAATTGTAACAAGTCATTTTATATAGGAAAGGAATATGAACTACAATTAGCAACAATGTAGAATATAATACAAATTGCCGTGTTTTCCCGGACGTCAAAACATACTTTCAGCTACCATCAAACAGAAATCTCCTCCATTAAAGCGAACAGCACGCGTAGCGTATCGTAAACCACCATAATACGTAACATGTAAGGCATTGCCGCCTAAGAAAGGCACTTTTAAAGCTCGAGTGCTTAAAAATCAACTGAAATATAAACAGTGCTACTTATAAACAAGGTTTAGCCTCAGAGTAAATTTGCGCTAAAATTGCAATTTTAGTATTAGTCCATATTCATATTTCACAGAGAATAAGCAAATCAACTACCTTCTAGGTGCAAATATTACTCCCGTAGAACCTCGTACTAGGTTAACCTTTGTTAAGTCTTTGTTTAATAATATGAATTTTGCCTAATACGAAGAGCAGTCTCAGCGTAAATTTACTCCAACGCTAAACCTTGTTTAAAAGTAGCACTGATAGATTAACTTTTATATAGGTATAA